CCCTAAACCCTAAACTCCTATAGAAACCCTGGGCCCCCAACGTCCCAAAACAAATGCCCAGACACGAAACCCTAAACCCGAAACCCTAAATCCCAAACCCCTAAACCCCAAACCCCTAAACCCCTAAACCCTAAACCCAAAACCCTTAGCCCAGCATCCGCCGGCCACTCGCCGGACTCGATCTTGGCAATCTCCTGCTCACAGGCGGATTCCCGGATAGGGCCATTAGGGTTTGGGTTTAGGGTTTAGCGTTTAAGGGCTTATAGGGTTTAGGTTTTAGGGGCTTCGGGTTTCGGGGTTTCGGGTTGGGGCGTTTAGGGTTTCGTGTTTAGGGCGAAGCACGACTGTGATGTTCCAGCAGTGGCATCCCTTCTAAATTCTCACAGAACCTCGCCGAATCTTCATGTGCAGCTGAACCCAAACCTAAACTTGCTCTGCAACCCTAAACCCCTAAACCCTGAACCCCTGAACCCCTAAACCTCCAAACCCTAAACCCCGAAACCCTAAACCCCTAAACCCCAAAACCGTAAACCCCTAAACCAAGTCCATAGCCTTGCGGATGGAGATCATGGCGTCGCAGAAGCGGTCCAGCTCCGCCTTGTCCTGTGCCATCGGAAACTCCAAGATCCCCGTCATAATCACTTAGGGTTTTAGGGTTTCAGGGTTTTGGGGTTTAGGGTTTAGGAGTTTTTTCCGGGTTTAGGGTTTAGGGTCCTTCTTAATCGCTACCATAATACTTGGAGGTTCATGGGTGGTTATAAGTGGAGTTAGAAGTAAGCTAATCTAATTATAACTCATATTAGGGGACTTATCACCCTACTTATAACTACCCATGAACCTCCAAGTATAGGGGCCTTGATCATTCGAACAGGGTTTTTGGGCCCGTTATAGTATAACTATAATAAAGAACCCTCCAAAATAATAGTATTGGTAATTACTTAGGCCCCTACCATAGCCTACTTTTTTTGTCAGGGGGTTCGCATGTGCCGTCAGCAATTTCCGAAGCCTTGCCCAATTAAGAATACCCTGATCCGGAAGAGCGTAGAAACACATCTTAGACACAAGCAAACACGACCGTTTAACAAACTTCGAAACATCGAACGCAACCCCAAGACCTAAACTCAAACAAAACCAAGCCCTGGAAAGCCTAAAGGCCCACCATGAAAAAACAAATCCAAAAACCTCCCCAAACCCTAAACCCTGAACCCTAAACCCTAAACCCTAAATCCTGAACCCCAAACCCTAAATTCTAAATGCTGAACCCCAAACCCTAAACCCTGAACCCCAAACCCTAAAACCTAAACCCTAAACCCTAAACCCCAAACCCTAAACCCTAAACCCTCAGGCTTGAACAACCCTTTAAAGACCCCCATAACTCCCCGGAGACCTCGGACTCCGTGGGCTCCACCATCAAAGAATGAGGCACCGGCCAGGACATCGTTGGCGCGTGGAAGCCGTAGTCCTGCGCTTCTTTGGGGTTTAGGGCTTTGGTTTTGTTTTGCAGTTTTGGGGCTTAGGGTTTAGAGTTTTTGCAGTTTTGGGGTTTAGGGTTTAGGGTCACAGCAGTTTTGGGGTGTCGGGTTTAACGCCTTTCCTCGCTGTGGCAGGTAATGATGCATGGCTTCACCCTGAAACCCTACACACTTAACCCCTAAACCATATTATAAACCCTAAATACTTAACCCCTAAACCCTAACACCCTGAACCCTTTGGCTTCCTTTTCAGTCAAGGCTGCCGGCTTGCCAATGAAGCCTGCGCGGCGCATCCCGACGTCTCTTAGGAAGACTACCGGAGCCTCCATTCTCCTTGCGATGCAATACTACGTATTACGGTTTAGGGTTTAGGGTTTACGGTTTGCAGGACTGCATAGTATATTACTATCTTGAATACTAGGGCTACTATGGCACTATAGTATTTAGTGCTTTTGATCTCTTCCAAGCGACGCGACCTCAAGCGAAGGAAAATGTCTGGGAAGCAACATGCCTTCCCAGGCAGTCGGCTCACGTCATAGAAGGAACCTGGGTCATTACTGTACATGCAAGCACCGACAAAGGATGAGAAGCACCACTGCTTGTGGTGGACTCGGTACAGAGCTTTTTCGGGTTTCCCGGAAGCTCAGATCTTTGAAGGAGGGGCTTACTTGCCCTGCTTCATCATCAAAGAGCGCTTCTTCTGGGTCTTCTGCATCTGGGTCTCCTCATCACCATTGGGCTTCCACAGTCCACGGTGCAGAACCTCGGCGGCAGCGTCGTGCACCTTCTCCCAGCCATGGAAGCGGCCGCGCTGGCTCAGCGTGCCGACCGCGTTGGGGAACGCATGATGTACCTGAGACATCCGCACTGCTGAATGAAGCTGCGTTCGACAACCTCTCTTGCATATCTCTGGGGTCTGACGTGCTCGCAACTACAGCCGAGCCGCATCGTGGAAGAGCATCTCGTTCCAGCGGTGCTTTCCTGCAACTCTTGCGAATCACACTTTCCAAAACCCTGAACAGCTGCTGTAATGTTAAGAGTCCAAAGCCGCCTCCCAGAACCATGGCCATCACGTTATGAAGGACAGGCCAGGTGCGGCCCGGATCCTGTGCGAGGAACTCGTTCCAAGGCAAGCCTGGGCTGTACTGTCTTTAGAGTTTAGGGTTTAAAGTCTCGGGATTTGGCGTCATGAAGAGATAACTTATAGTATGTTGATAACAAGGAAACCTAGGAAATCGCGTTGAGAATCATTTAGGCTTCCATATTGGCCACGGATGTTCAAAGAGTTGTACTATGAGGAGTCTGGATTTAAGGTTTAAGGGTTTCGGTCCGGGTTAGCCTAGCACAGCGTTTAGTGTTTCGGGCTTACGGCGAACCTTGCTGGGACCAAACGGGAAACTCAATATTATCCCAGATTGAGGCCGCCTAGAAGCTGTGAGTGAAGTTGGTGATGAACATCCAGGCCGCGGAGTAGCCGATGCGAGCGAAGACGGACACAGTGAACATGAACCGCCAGCCCTCGCTCAGAGGACGTCCCAGAGGGTAGGTGCCGAGCAGCCACACACACGCCCAAAGCGAGAGCACGAAGGCATTGTGCTTGACGCGGCGTGGAATCCACTTGCTCCAGAACCTCGGCGTGAAGAGACTCTACAATTACGTGGAAGCCAGAAACATGCTCCGTGCACCGCCACCACGTGCTCGCCTTTCTCAGAACTATCAAAACGAGTACCAAAGAAAACTAGTCAGTCAAGCCGGGACGCTCCTTGTTGCACTTGCCACCTGCACCCTCGTCGGGGAAGTGCATCCACCACTCCAAGGCAAACAGAGAGCCGGTATCGTTAAGACCGAAGAAATGGATCATAGGGATGAAGGGGACGGTGAGCAGGTACTTGTACCAGTTAGAGCTCCATGGTCCGGCCCACTGCTGCAGGGCGTAGTGGAACTCCTCGGGGTCCCAGCCGAACTCACCCTGGATCAGCAGGTCAACCGTCGAGGCATGATGCCTGCATTGTCCAAACTTTCAGGGCTTCGATCATCGACACTTATGTTCAACATTGCAAAATGCTCAAACGGAACAACGATGCAGTTTAAATCGGGTGCAAATTCATTGTGGTCTGGTGCAGTGCCTGTTGTGCTCCAGGACAAACTCCTCCCAAGGCAAAGAGAAAAAGTCCGCAAAGGGGTGAGTCAAGAAGCGCTGCCACTCGTACACCGGGAAAGTGGCTCCGTGCATGACGTCGTGATCAATGTAAATGTTCTGGATGGCGATGTACGAGAATGGGATGCCGAAGCACAGAGTGCAGGTCCACCAGAAGTCTGGGAAGCAAGCCAAAGCTGCGCAGTAGCCGATCACCATCAGCACTTGGGTGAAAAAGATTGCCGTTAATACGTTCCACATGTAAATCATCTGCTCCTGGCGCAATTTTGGAACAGAGAAGGTTCGTTTATCATCATTTCCTGCAAAGCAAAACAAGCCTAGCGGTCTTTGATATCCCAGTCCGGCGTGATCTTGGTGAAAAGGAACGCGAGATTCTGCGGCATCGGGTCGGGCTTGTTAGGAGTCGGGAAGAGCCGGTTCGTCTTCAAGCTCCTGTTCTCGTTGTTCTTCTGAACGGAGAGCATCTTGTCGCTGCTCTGAGCAACCCCTGCCGCGTTCGGGTCACCCTCACCTGGCAGAGCGTTCTTCAGAGCTGCAATCTCATGGTCGTGCTCGTACTGAAAGTGATAGAATACCACACAAGCCTCCAAGATTGCTCTCAGGGACTTGGGCAGCCACATGCCTTGAGTAAAGCCATCTCACTCATCAGGAAGAAAACCCCTGGCCTGACGGTCGTGCTCGTACTTCTTCTTAAGCTCCTCAAGATACTCATCTGCTCCGTAGAAGATGGATGCCTTGCTATGGGCGGCCTTCTTGCCTTCCTTACCCAGGAGCGGCGCACTGGTCGCCATGGATGCAACGACAAAAGAAAACTGTTAGCTTGTTGAGCCTGACTTCTTGCGAGCATTGGGGTCCAGAGATCCGGTACCATCCTTCAAGTCGCAACTGTCATAACTATAATATAGTGTAAGGGCCTTAATAATTTCAATAGGGTTTTGGGGTATAGTATACTGTAATCATAATAAGGACCCCCCCCAAAAAAAATACTGTTGGTAATTGTTTAGGCCCCTACATTACGTGGACCGTTTTCATGGTTTTGGGCCCTCTGAGAAAGAAGGCGCGCCCCAACACAAATCCCAGTCTGGCAACACAACATGCTCTGTTCACAGGGGTCCTGCAATCGCTTGGCGATGTCCTCCTCGACGATGCCGGACTTCTTTCGGATGTCTGAGAAGTCCATGATGAACCTCATTACATGCAGATGGCTTCTTCTCATTGCTGCAATCGCTCTGGGTATGGCCAGAGCGAGGGCTATCAATAGCATTGTTACTGTTGTGGTTGCTGTTTCCGCCACAGTTGCAATTACCACAGCAGATGCTGTTGCTATTTCTATTGCCATGGTACTGCTGTTACGGCTGCTGCTGCTGCTGCTGCTGCTACTACTACTACTACTACTGCTGCCACGACTACTGCTGATACCACCACGACCATGACCACGACCGCGACCACGACCACTACCGCTACCGCTACACCTACCAGTACGACGACGAAGCCGACGACTAGGACTAGGACTAGGACTGCTGCTACGACTGCAACTACTACTACTACTACTACTACTACTGCTACTACTACTACTACTACTACTACTGCAACTACTACTACTGCAACTACTACTACTGCTACTACTACTACTACTACTACTGCTACTACTACTACTACTACTACTACTACTACTACCACTACTAGCACTACTAGCACTACTGCCACTACTACTACTACTACTACTACTACTACTACTACTACATACTACATACTACATACTACATACTACATACTACATACTACATACTACATACTACATACTACTTGCTACATTCTTCATTCTACTACTACTACTACTACTACTACTACTACTACCACTACTAGCACTACTAGCACTACTGCCACTACTACTACTACTACTACTACTACTACTACTACATGACGACTACGATGACGACTACGATGACGACTACGATGACGACTACGACTACGACTAAGGCTATTATGAATATTATTACTACTGCTACTACTACTACTGCTGCTACTACTACTACTACTTCTGCTTCT